CCTGTTATGAACAACCACAGCACAGCCATAAATCCCACCAGGATAAGCCTTAAACCTCACCCACTTCAAAATGCCCTTGGCCTGACACACAATAGCCACGGTTCAGTCTAATACATCCACATAGCCTTGACCCCCGCATAGGAAGCAGCAACACAATGAGATTTCCTGCTGTGAAAAGGAATAGGTGAAAAGTCACTTCCTGTGGAGATGTGAGGAGTGATCTTCTGACGGGCGGGAGAGGACAGGGGTCCCTTCTGGATGCCAAGTGGGTCAACCCTGCATTCATGCTTCACAATCCCCATGTGACGTCATAATAATACCCTAATAGCTGTGTGTCAACCTATCAACCAGTCAACGGCACACGGATGAGCCGTTGTCATGACAGTGGTCATAAAGCCAGCAGGACAGGCAGTGATGGTATGTATATACAGTTTTATATCACAGAGTGCTGACATTTTGTAGACGTGAGCTACAGCCTTCAGACTATGCAGCTGTTGTCCAAAGTCACATGGATGTATCATACTACCAAACGACGAAAAAATCTGAAGGCTGTCCGTCATTTTGAAAGATTAACACAGAGGGCGATCTACCGTAACATTAAGTAATTCACAACTCTGTCAGTAACCACATGTAGACCACCTGCAGTAGACCCACCTATCCAGTTGGTGGCGAGTGTTCATAGTAATTAGTTATTGTCTAGTGGACTTTGATCTCATATGCATGACCTTGTTGTCTAGCTGGCTTTAGCCATCACATAGGTAGGCTATATCGCTACATGGCCTATATCTATCTCAAAAAAAGAGTGTCTGAAGTTTCTCTAGAATGCTCAATAATTTCGATGTGGTTCCTAAACGAGGTGAAAAAGAGGAATTGATGAGGTAGAATGAAGGACAAGCAAGTAATACTAATAATCTTTATCAGCCAGCGGCAGCTAATGTTATGGGGGAAGCAAGTGGCAGCAAGGGGGTAAAAATAATTAATCTAATTTGTGTGATGAAAAGTGACCTTTTCCCTCCATGCCCTTATAAATGCATAATCTGTAAGCATATGAAATGTTATTGAGATCGAGATGTTCTTGAAAATATTAAATATACCTCTATAAAATGATGGGTAATAATAGATGTGATGGAATTTTGATGACACTGTCTGTCAAAATGATGGACAACGAGGAAAGTAACATCTGCATATTACATGTGACTTCCAAGTACAACATACTTTACAAAAGGTAAAAACGTACAGCTGAGGTTGAATGTCATTAGTTTTGCAGGTATCTGGTACTAAAGCAGTGAATGAATGTCTTTACAAAATGTTATGGCAATCCATCCAATAGCTGTTGGGAAATTTATTGAGTGGAAGTGGACTGACCAACAGGTCAACATCCCCATCTTGAGAGCCACACCACCAACATAGCTAAAAATCTCTTCTTGGACCTTTGATTGGTTTACATGCACTAATCTTGAGTCTGTGGTCCTCCAGCATTATTGATGACGCCTTCTCAGACATCATAATACACTCTGATTGGTGCTGTTTGGTTTGAAATCTTTCTATGTTTAGGTTTCTTTCAAATAAAGCAGTGCACTTGGTTGTTGAATCTGACTTGAAGAACCATTGATTGTAAAGCAGCCTGTTCATGATGTGAGTCCAAATATTGTTGATCATCTTTACCCATTCTGTTATTTATAATTATAAATTATAAATAATAATAAATTATACATTTATAAATAAGTGGCTGTTTTACTACATTATAAGCCTGCTTAATCAACTGGCTCCCATGAGGTTTCCTTCCCACTGTGGTTTGAATATCACCACTGAGACTCATTACCTTGTTAAACCGCACTGAAGCAGGTAACGTGGATCTTTGCTGATAGGATTTCTGAGTCAGAGAGGATGTTGACCTTGACATTGTAACACTGAGTGACATTAATTAATTTCTTCTTCTATTCACAGTTTGAGTGGGCAGTGTGTGTGTTTCGAGTGAGTTCGTTCTGGTATATTAGAATATATCCATTTAACAAATGTTTTCTCTGCTGTGACTCATCTAAAAATATACAGATTTCAGAGTTGAAGGCACATCTCATCTCTGGGGATAACCAACGATTCATCTTTGCTTTTCAGACACCATAAATAACAAAAGGTAGAACTGGTTCACGTCACATTTGAAATCTGTTTGTGTGCAGCAAATTAAAAGCAGCAGTAAATGGCATGAAGTAATTCTGATACCCAGATTATATTCAATGTGTAGGACAGTTAAGAGCACTTTTACACTGTCCTAGTCAGACTAAAAAGTGTTTCCATGCCTGCTTCTTACTGTCTGCACCCATGAGAGGCTTTTTAATAGCACAGGATGAGCACTTTATAATGCAAGTGCATTACAGGAGATATGAGAGAGGAGGGAAGGAGTGAAGAGACAAAAGAAGTTCTACACTCTGATTCAGGAAAATTGCCACAGTCTCCTTGTCTTTGTGTGCAGACAGCTAGGAAAGAGTAATGCATCAATCACAGCTGTCCTTTGCAGCCCTGCTCGCCTCCCTACATTCACATTCACAAAGTGAGCTCAGCTTTGATCATAGTGTTTCAATATTGTGGTCGTATCCTTTCTGTCTTTCCTCTGCAAAGCTATCATTGATCTGATTATCCCCTGGCAAATGCCGCACGTCTCGCTTTGACCTAAAAAGGAAAGCATGAATTAATCCACCACAGAGAAGGCCGTATGGTTAATTTGTTATCAAGCCACGGTGCACCTTTTGTACGTGGTTACTGTACAAAAGCCGCTGTCAATGCAACCTCGAGATCCAATTCTAACACCTCTAGCATGGCCTATTGTGAGTGTGATGTCAGCTACACCCTCTCATCCTCAACCCCAGGGAGACTCCCATCCGGAGCCTTATGGGAAGGATTGAGAGGAGTCCTGTGATTGGAGCTTCCTGTTATCTCCTAACCACAGCAACACGGCTGGCAGGACCTCTGCTTCTGGAGGATTCTGGCAATATGCGTGCACAAGTGTGGGTTTGCTGAGGTGTATATGTGCCTGTGTGTGTGAATCAGGAGCTATATTTGTATGCAAACATATGTCTCAGAGTGCATGTGTGTATGTGTGATACAGGAAGTGAGGATGTAAATGCTTGAGAGGAACTACAAAGACAGAATGTTGTGTGAGATGGCATGAAGGATAGTGGCTTGACATTGAATATGTGGACGTGTGAGAAGTGGTCATGGTGGGTACAATGCTTAAATTAAATCTGGTACAGTACCATGTATACACTTTCAAATTTCCAATAAATGGCAGAATGGAGAAGAAGCCATATTTAAGCCATCCCAAGACACTTTCACATGTTTATGGACGAGGTTTGTACAACTTGTGCTATTTAACAATTCTAAGACCCTAACGAATACATGCACCCGTTCCATAATAAACATGACATAATCCTACAGCCACATTGTTTAGTGATCTGTGATCTTATTCCATCTATTTCCTCATTATAATTACATTGTTAGATGTACAATAGCACCAGACCAGGACTAAAAATCACGGCAAAAGTAATTTCTGTCTGCAGTATAATTGAGTAATAAAAGTATAAATTGCTGGTGTTGTAAGAATATCACCTATTTCCTATACAAAACCACTTCTTTTTATTTTCTAGATATGTGTGTCTGATAAAGGCAGGCTGGTGGATTTTAATTGGAAACAAGCTGAAATGTACTTTTTGCGCTTGCAGATGTTTTGAAAAAGTAAGACTAAAGCTGCACTAATCAATAATTTTGGATGGAACAATGGATCAAATTGGCTGCTCATGGTGACAAACCCACCAATAATTATCAAACACTCCTACAGTCCTCTGTTTTAAAGAACTTTTGAGCCACTACCAGATTATTATTATTATTATTTTGCTTTTACAGTTTGCAATTTTATTGTTTTGGTTTAGTCACACAACTCTCATTAACTTTGTTTCCAGTTGCCGCAGGGAGCAGTTTTCATTGAAAAAGCGAGATACTACAAAGACAAAGTCAGCGACTATAACTGGTGAACATAATGGATCATTTGGCTGCTAAGGAGTCTGATATTTCCCTCAGGAGTTAGTGGAGTCCAAAACAGAGGGAAGGTGAATATTAAACTGCCAGGGGTCAGAAACACAACTCTCGATGATAATGTTGCTCTGTGTCTGCAAGTGTAAATAGGAAACTGGTTCTTATCATACTCACCACATCAAACAAATAAAGTGATAATAGTTCAAGAATGTCTTTACAACTTCTTGCACTGGAAATGATAGAGGTCTAAATTGATAATTTGTTGTCTGGGCCAGAGTTTACTATAAACCCTATATGCTATAAAACGCCTATACAGTTGTTCCTAACATCTCACATTCTTATCCGCAGTGATTCTCGGAAAGCTGCAGCTTCTTATCTGTGCTGTAAGCAGCACTGATCGACTACACTGCCTCGAGAACTGCTTGAAAGCTACAACATCAGTTTCCAGGTGTACAGAGAGCCAGGTCTGCCGGGTTTTAAATGCAAGCACAGAAGCTTCTGGAAAACTCGCTGGAAAGCTTCACATCCTCATCCATTATTGATAGCGCCTTAAGCCTTCCTTGTGCTCAGGATGACAAACTAAAACCAGAAGTGGCAACTGTGTAGCATAATACCGAAGGAAGGGTTGTGTTTGAAATTTGAATTTCACTAGTTTGTCCTGCAGTGAGTCATCCTTTGATGTCCCATCAATGTGTTTGCAGGGAATAGCAATTAGCTACTAATAAATGATGTCAGTGGTGAATCCTGTCCCTGATGCTTAGTGAGGAGAAGGCAGTTAAAGGTTAGGGGTCCAAGGCTGTGGCTGTGTGTGCATGAGTGCTTGTGCCTGTGCCTGTGTGTGTGTGTGTGTGTGTGTGTGTGTGTGTGTGTGTGTGTGTGTGTGTGTGTGTGTGTGCGCTCAATTACAACTTTCAGTTCAATTAATTTAAAAGCAACATTACCAGTTGAGTGCTGAGGTCAGGCAAAGGACTTACATTGGCAGCTCATTTCTCAGAAGCCTCGATCTGAGTAGGAGGAGGGTTCCTGAAAGAGATACGAGCAAAACTGTGTCAGTGTTTGTGTGTGCTATGAAACCATACAACCGTGTCATGCTTTACTTGTTAAACGACAAGAAAACCTGAGCATATTTTGCTACAGACACACACACAGACACACACACACACACACACACACACACACACACACACACACACACACACACACACACACACACACACACAGAGCCAAGGATAAGGCTTTGCCATGCAGTAATGCCAATCGGGTTAAAATAATCTGATTGAGAACCAGTGCTTGAAGGCAACTTGTGTTCAGGCTCAGGCCAGCAAAGTATCAGCGAGCAACACCACCTTGTTGTCTACTTTACTCTTCTCTGCCCTACTTTCTCTCTCTCTTCCTTCTCTCCCACACCTTGGAGGGTAGTACAAAGGCACCGACTCGCTTTAGCACATTTCAATCACGACAGTCTCCCACTCATCCATATTCCAGTCACCTTTATAACACCTGCAGTGCTACAGAAGCTATGACAATGTTGGATCAGGGCTCTTTTCACCACAGGCCTCTGCAAACAGTCGTACACTCACCATGTGTCCTGTCTGATAACACTACAGAGTCAATGCTCAAGAGTTTGATGAGTGCCTGGTCACAAGATTGTGTGTGCCTGTGTGTGCATTGGTGTGTCTTTGGACATTACAGTATTTATGTGTATTTGACTCTAGGCTTGAGTTTATTATATTTATTTTGTGATTCCTGTGTTATGTGTATATTACAACCATGTCAAACACACTACAAACACTGTCACTATTTTCTTTTTATCATTTCCACTCTCAGAGAAGGAGCTCAAGATTCTTTGCACCAACTACAAAGGCTCGATACTTTGACAAGTGCCATATATAGGAGAACTGTATCTGTTGGAGGACTCTCTCTGCACTCACTTATTTTGCATTTCCGATTCCTTTTTCACTGGAAAATTCAGTGAGGAGACGCCTTTGTTCATCAGTCCCACAAGCACTCAAATATACAGTGTGTAGAAAGGTATAACCTTGATGTCAATATTCAATTGCTGCTGTGTTCACTGTTTTATGCAGCTGTTTTATTCCCATACACATATTCAACTCACAGCATGAAAACTATGGGATATTTGCTCTGATATTTTAGCCATTCATCTGTTGGTAAGCTTTGATGGTGGCAAACATGCAACGGTACACTAGAGAGTGGATGGCACATAAACAACAAGTATTCAGTGCAAAAAACATAACAGTATCCCCATAGGAACCTGTTCCTGTTTTTAAATGACGCATAGATAAATATCCACAAGGTATAGTTTCTAATTGTACACACAGATCAGTTCATCTTGAACAAACACCTCAACTCTCTGCAGATCCATTAGTAGGGTTTGGAAGAGGTCAGAATTGTCTCCAAACCCGATAGTCCAGCTTCAACAAGATGAATGTCACTTCCTTTTATAGTTAAACAAGCACTATTCATAGTATGGTAATTGTACTACAATTATACAGCACTTTTCCATCTTAGGACATAGTGATTTAGAGTTTCAATATCTTGCTGAAGGACACTTAAACACGTGGACAGGAGGAATCAGATATCACAGCTGTGATTAATGGACAACCTGTAAACCTCCTCTGAAACCTTTTAAGGATGAGGATGAAGAGACTCACATCATTGAAATATTCTGAATAAAGGCTTAAAAGTCAGTAAAATAATTGTGCTTGTGTTGGAAAATTGCTCAGACCTCATAACCTGACTGCGCCTGATGGTTTGTTACACAGAATCATCTGGGAAGTTGTCATTGCAACCATGTTTGGACAGGCACTTTCAAAAAATACTCAGCACCGTCAGATCAACAAACCATATAACGTAGTCAAACTCTTACAGAAGCCAAAAGCAAAAACATCTTTTCTATCGACAAAAGCCTGCAGTGCTATTCTTTTCTCTTCTTTCAGTGAAGCAATACTCTCCAGTTCTGACATAACCGCCCACCCCCGTAGCTGCTAGTATTTCCTCAAGGACACAGATTGGTCCATTTCCACTGAAGTTGGGCCACTAACGCATAGACTGAAGCCTGGCAAGATAGATTCTTGCGTGATGTTATATTGCCTTGCAAGGTTACCAACCTCAACCACAAACACCTAAACCATAAACACTACCACTTACTTAAACTTATGATTTGGTCAGGTTTAGGCCCCTAAAACTACTTCTACCCATTTTTGACTCAATTTGACTCATCCATCCTGACCGCCTTCCTCAGAAGTTTTGTGCTGCTCAAACACTGCGCTACTTTTGCATTTGCTTCATAGTGAGAATAGTCATTATACGAATGCAGGATGAACCTAAAATGAAACCAACAGTCAGTGATGGCTTGAAAATGTTAAGCTGTCGCTCTGGTTGACTTCAATAACATGATACTGCAGCATGCCCTGCAGCCAGCTTTAGAGGTGGATGCAATAGAAAATGTCATGTTCCTCGGCCAGACCAATCAGAATGGCCTAGATGCACCACTCTGCCCTGAACAGCCACAACCATTGTAAAATTTGTAAAAACAATTTCAGGACAGAGTCAACAAACACAAAACTCAAAAGTGCTGTGACCTTTAGCAATAAAATGTCAAAAAAATTGCACAGACACACATACACACACTTCTTAGCGGTGTTAAAGGTCGGCTTCAAGAAGAAGAATCATAAGAACAGGAACAGAATCCAGCACCGCCTGTTAGTAACCATCATACATATGGATTGCTTTAATTGTATACAGGGAATAAAAGTGATTTTAAAGCAAGAAACCCCATGACTGCAAATGTGTGAGATAAAAATAGTGTATGATAATGGATAAAGCTGGTTCTCCCTCATTTTTTCCATGTACAGCCGAAGCTACATCAGGAAGCCATTAGGGTTCCCTACTTCCGAGGAGAACAGACATTCACACATTTTTAAACTCATTCATAAAAGCACAGATGAACTTCAATAGAAGACAAATGAAGGGCACTTTATGTAGTTTTTAGGATTGAATTGGGAATGGGAATCATGCCAAACCCCTCTTCTCTCACTTCATCACACTGCAGATTCGACGGACTAAAGTCAAACTGCACTTCACGGCACCGAGTTTGTTGGGGCAGAGTAAGATAAATTAGAAATGAGATTGGGAAACAGATTGAGGCATCAGACCAGAGGGATCTGCTGATTGGGCTCTTCATTTTGGGAATGCATTATAGATGTCTGTTCACTGGCTGTGGAAAATCTCTCTCGCTGATGGAAATTGGCCTCAGTTGAGAAACAATTACATTTGATTAGATGTTTCGGATTTTGCAGCAGAATTGAGTGCATTGAAGATTGGGGATTACTTTTTACCACAACAGATGTCGGTTGTGGAACGGTTGTGTGTGTTCTGTGTTGTACTGCACATCCAACATGCAGCGGCTGGCTAAAGAGTTAACACTGAAAATACAAAGAAAAACCTAGTGTTTCAGCGTTTTTACTCATATAGAACTGTGTACTGGCTGTGTCCGCATTTGGATACTAAATAGGAGCAAGTACAGGCACAGCCTTATTTCCCAGATCAGCACACTGACCATTAACTTATCTTAAATGGATTGTAAAATTATTTTTGACCCACCTAATTCCAAAATGCTGGAGTGAAAGCCAAGTTGGGGAGGTAATTGGTTCTAAATGAAACAATCCCTTGTCGTCACTTCTCTACCATGAAATCCAGTTATGGCAGGACCTGAAGGTCACTATATCCAGGTGCTTTGTAAGCCAACAATTGCCAATTAGAAGGGTCTAACTGCAGCATGTAAATTGTGCACAGAGTTACATAAATGTTGTAGGAACCAAATCGATCTGAAGAGGAAAACGCTGGTGTAAAGGCCAGCAGACATGAGAGTCCTTTAGAAATCTGTTGGGCCATTTCATGAGGATAAGGATGAGAACCTCTCCCACTTACAAAATTTGTAGTATTCAGTGAGCAGATGGGAGGCAACTTGAGTGTGACTGAAGATGAATCCCACAAGTGAGGCAGTGTGACAACGCTTTTGGAAAGAATCGCACGCTCATTCCAAAAATCTCTGCATGTTATAATTATGCAAATGACTCAGTAGCTGGCAGCGGATATAACGACTGGATTAAATGTGGTCACTGCAATAATTGAAGTTGTAAGTGTGTGTGTGTGTGTGAGAGAAACGGGGTGAGGTCTGAGTTTATATGACAACAAAACATGTGCCAACGTTATGTCCATTTATTAATGCAACTTTTGAAAACAGTCGTTTTTAATCCCGTTGATCTTGGAATAAAGACAGTTTGGGTAATATCAGTTTGCTACCAGCTGAGGCATCTTTAATAAGAGCAACCATTTGGTGACAAGTAGATTGTCACAGGATTAAAATTTACAATTGATGTCCTGGACAGCTGTTTGCGTCTTTGAGTGAACAGATGCTGCATTATTCATGGTAATTTTTAAGTGGTATTGTCTTTTTTCTTCTCTGGCTCTTACTGTATTCTGAGGAATGCTGTCTGGAATTTCATGTCCAGGAAAACAGTCATCGGGTTGCCATGAAAACAAGGTGCTTATATTCTTTCATGGCTAATTTACTATACAAATGCATTATCATATTTTATCTTAACTTGGGGAAATTAAGGCATAAACTTTAAGAAAAACTTTCTTGTAAAACAACAATTTAATATTTTTTTTTACTTTACTTGGGCAAAATGAAAGAGTTCTTTAAATTGAACAAAAATATATGTGTATGATTTCAGGGCCTACTAGTTACTACACGTCAACTAAAAGTACAGAACTCTGCAGCATATGAGTAAATGAGGACTACCGTCTGTTTTCATATTCGTTCTTTGAACTTCCTCCATGCTCTGAGCAAGGGGATGCAGTACAGAGACAGAAGTGCAGGAAAAACAGCCAGCTCAGCCCATTCTCGGGGCTAAAAAGTCACAAACAAGAATAAGTTAAAAATTAAATTCTTTCAGTGGATGCCAAGTTTTTGCTCTTGCCCATCTTTGGAACTTTAA